TTATATACTCAGTTGATTGCTTATGCCGCTCACCTGCGCAGGCTTGCGCTGCCAATTCATTCTTAATTGGCCCGTTCAATACTCTTTCAGACGAGTAGCTTCTGAACCGAACCTCCCTATGCGTGGATTTTACAATCAAATCCACTTATAGTGCTTCCGTTCCCCTCCTCGGGGAACGAAGGGTTACTTTAGTAACCTCGAACGTTTTATAAACATGATTTGTACTTTAAATGAAAATACTTTGTAGAAATTCTGTGAATTAATCTGCACGACCCAAAAGAAGTAATAATCATCAAAATGATAAGAGTTGGCTCTCTATAAAACAAAAATGATTCATTTTATTTTATGTAATATTTTTGCCTTTATGAGGAAAAAGTGTTGTTATGGATGTGACCGATGTGAAATTGCCACTTGTGTGACTTTGGTAAATCAAATATAATTGTTTGAAAAAGCTGACAGAGACATTTTTGAGCATTTTTTTCTGTAAAATACTTGCTTAGACAAAAAAAAAAAAAAAAAAAACAGAAACGGGTTCCGTATTTTGGTGAAAACTTCGTGCTAAGGTTGACATTTGCCTGGAATTGCTAAGATATGTTATATGTTTAAGCATTAAGACTATATCATCTTTAAGTCATCTTTGTTGGAGAGAAGAATTCATATCAATCCTGTAACGTGTACATGTGAAATATATATAGCTATCACTATTTTCTATTATTGTTGGAAACACTCACATCTTATTACAGTAACTCGATGTTTTTCCTGCAAAGACAAGTAGGAGGGAGGTGACCACCTCTATCAAATTTTGTACAACCTCCACCTTTTAACAAAAATCAGGCAGGCGATCACTACTGACAGACCCTAAGTAATGCTCAAGTGCTGGTCATGTATTTAATTACATTTAATGTTAACAGTTTTAAATAAGATCATGGTTTGATAAGATTCCAACAATAATACAAAATGTGTTTATTTCAAGTAGCAAACATTTCATCATGACTACTAAATGAATAATGCCTGAATAGTGTCACCTGCTCATTCAAAACTTTTAATCAAGCATTGTCAGCTGTAGTCACCAAGCAGTGTTTAAAATAGTTTGTTTGCATTTATGTCTTTAAAATGTTTTGTGTATGAAATATTTGACCTCTCAGATGAGTGTCACTTTTACCTCAGGGCAGGCCCGTGCAGAGACTTTCGTCTTTTCGTCTCCGTCTTTCAAGCTGGATGGCTTGATAACCTCCTCAACCCCTGTTGTAAGTAGAAGGTGGGAGAGCTGTGTGAGAGCTCAAATTTATTAAAATAAAATACTATATATAATAAAATATTTTGAAAATACTACAAAATGCTAATTAAGGGAGCATGAAATGTCTTCACAAACCTTCTATCAATAGGCCTATTGGATCAATCCCTTCACCATTAAACTGGCTTAGTGTAGTAAACCATGTTTGACAGCAACAGCGTTTCTCTGAGCAAGTTTAAGTCAGCTTCTCTGTCGACTCATTCACGTCTACTAAACATAAAACATGTAACTTTTGTTTCTCTTTGATTTTAGTCTAGATTTTACACACATTTTATACAGAAAGTATTGTATTTAAGATGATCCCTTTAACGCTGTAAAAATCATTCACAGCACATAATGAGTTGGAATATGATACTATATCTCTTGATTGCTACCATCTCTAAAAGTCTTATATTTCAACATTTTTGCAGTTGAAATCTTCAATACTGAATGTAAAATCATGATTTCTGAAAACTACTAAAATCTCTAGTTTTAGTCATTTCTATGTTTCTTTGCAATTGTACTCTTCAACACACAATATAAAACATACTGTACTGTACATGAAGTATACAAGAAGACATTTACAACAGGGGAGCGCAGAGCACAAAGTAACATGGGGTTAAGTGTAACACAGAGTTTTAAGGTATTTGCTCAGACTTGATCATGGCATTCTTCCAAGGGTTTTTACCACAGTGTCAGCAGATGTCTTCCTGGCAATTATTGAAAAAGTTCGGTGAAATTTGGATGAGAAACACAAGAGAAAACATTTTTGCAGCATAAAGGTATTTTTTATTATAGTCAATATTTTTTAATTTAAAAAAATCTGTGAAAGTATGAACGTGAAATCTTGTATTGTTGTGATCACCGTCTTCTAGGCTAAAAGATAAAACCATTTTGAAAGATGTAAGAAACACACAGTGACTGCTAGCCAGTTTTGAGGAAAACATGACACAGCGGGGTTAGTTGTAACAGAGTGTTAAAATTAAGCCACACACTGTTGAACACCAATTAAACTAACACAATATTTTTTAATTTTGAGAACTTTTTTAATAAAATGATTTTTAATAGATTTTTTTTTTGACAAAAAATATTTTATTGCTAATTCTCCAAATAAAGGCATTGTATAATAATGGATAATAATCCAAATAAATTCAAATGTATTTATCCAATAAATAAGTAAACATACTGTGCTATGTAGAATAAAAATAAATTGAGCTACACTGTCAGAAAAAAATGTGCAAAATTTGTACCTTTAGGGGTACAATGGCTTGTCACTGGGGCAGTACCCTCAAGGGTACACCTGTTGTACCCTTTCACATGGGTACATATTTGTACCCTAGCAGTATGTACCTTAATGGGTCAAATATGTACCTCTGCTGACTAATTTGTACCTTACTTGGGCTATGGTGCAAAAATGTACCTTTAAAAAAGGTACAATTTCTCCTCCATAGGGATTCATTTTGTACCCCTTCACTTCAGAATTGTACTCCATACACATTAAACTTCATTTATCACATTTATTAAACATTAAATATCAACATTTTTACAGGATGAATGTTTAAACATTACATCATTTTAAAATAATAAAAAGCAATATTTTTCCATGAGTACAAACTGCACGATAATTGTACTGTTATACTTGTAACATTTTATCACAAACACTCATTGAAAGATTAAAAAAAATTACATTGTCACCTTTTTAGAGGATGAAAGTTTTAAACTATCACAATGTCCTACCAGATGCATAAACTTAAAAAAAATAGCTGCTTAAACATTAAAAATTTTATGAAACGGCAAAAAAGCTTAATATTATTTTTTAACACCAGTACATTCCCATTTCACTGAGCATTTTTACCAATGTAACAAAGTAATCTTTCTAAAACAGCACTAGACCTCATGAAGTATATTTTTGTTAGTGCACTGCATTCTACATTTTTCTAAAAGCATCAAGAATCTCAAAGCAATCTTTTTCCATACAGTAAAATGAAACATGTCACTTACTATATACATTTTACATCTCAAAAACACATTTGATCAAACAGTATTACACATTTGATTTAAAATTTCTAAACATTCTTAAACAGTTTATCAGCAGAGTATGTTTCAAGAGCCTGAAAGTCCATCTGTCTTGGTTTATAACACCCCATTCAAAGTCAACTCCTAGTGTATTTGCATGGAAATATGAATCATACAACAGCAGTATTATAAACTTGCTACACAGAAACTAGTGCAGTATTGACATTTAAAATGTATTTCATTAGGAAAGAGTCATTTCTTCTCCATTAGCAGTCTCACATGCTCACAAAAACAGTTCAATTTGAACACCTGAATGTGTCAATCTCATCAAGGATGTTGGGCGGAAAAAATTCTTAGCATTGTGTCATCTTGTGCTTCTCAGTTGATTTGGGCAATGTTATTAAAATGTCTATAGCTGCTAGTCTTAAAATACTGATGCAGACTTGAAACGCATGCACCAAAGTAAATGCAAAGATCCAAGCATTGCTGTTTGATGCAGACCCAGCAACACCAGTTCTTTCGGACAGCTGCACTGAGTTGTTTTTCTTGTAATTTTGGATCTCCATCTTCCCACCGTTGCTGATGGTCAAATTTAAATTGTTGTTCCATCTCGGTGAGTTGCTGATGTTCATCCTTTGCATTTTTTATGTAGCGTGGATAAGCCAAGTTGAAAACACAGTAAACGGCGAAGGATGTAATAATGCCTTTTAACTCCTATTCTCCAACACTTTGCAAAGGACTTTCAGCCATCTGTAGAGGTGGGTAGGGAGCATCATCATCATCCCACTGTGAAAAGAAAAAGAAAAAAGACATCAATAAACAATGTAAAATCTGTCAGAACTGCATAACATCTATCAGAGTATTACAAAGTGTTTAACCAACAGTACCCAAACCTCTCCCAGTGTAATTACTGTAAGCAATTAACTTTCTCTTTAAAGATATGGGGGAGCAGAATTAGAGCTGCACGAAAGTCAGAATCTATTGCAAAATAAAATCATCCATTTATTTATTTTCTTTTCGGCTTAGTCCCTTTATTAATCTGGGGTCGCCACAGCGGAATGAACCGCCAACCTATCTAGCACGCGTTTTACGCAGCGGATGCCCTTCTAGCTGCAACCCATCACTGGAAAACACCCATACACACTTATTCACACACATACATATGGCCAATTTAGCTTACCCAATTCACCTGTAGCACGTCTTTGGACTTGTTGGACTTGGACTTGTGGAGGAAACCGGAGCACCTGGAGGAAACCCACGTCAACATGGGGAGAACATGCAAACTCCACACAGAAATGCCAACTGACCCAGCCGAGTCACGAACCAGCAACCTTCTTGATGTGAGGCGATCGTGCTACCCACTGCACCACCTTAAAATAAAATAAAGACAAAAAAATTAACAAAGTACTCTTAAATAATTTTATAATATAAAAAGACCCGTTTTTAGAATAAAAAAAGATTCAGCAAATGCTGAATAAAAGATATTTAATGTATTTTTATGAATTACATTTTTTAAAGAAAAACATTAAGGAATGTTCTGTATATTAAGGGTTTGTATATAAGGCCTATGAGTTTGAACTTTCTAAATGCAGCTTGAAAAGGCACTTAATGATCACATCCAAGAAATAAAGGTTTGATCTGCAAAATTATTATTATGTAAGTTTTATGTTAATACCTGTTAGATCATCTGCAAACTTCTATTCTCCTCTGACTTGGTTGGAGATGGTTGATGAATGCATTCAGTCAGGTTCACCATGACTATAATAAACAAAAAGGAAATTAGTGATTCACTTTAAATAAAAACTATATCTAATATTCTTTGTTGCCATTTCCCTTTAGTTATCACTGTACAAATAGTTGTAAGCTTGAATGCACATATGTGTTCACCACAAAGCTTGAAAAGTAAAATATTTTTACAATAGTGATAACATTTATAATAGTCATTTGATCCTACACTTTGGCTTATACTGACATTAAACATTTAATTTAAACTGAGAACTGATTTAAAATGTGGGGTCTCACTGACAAGGGTGTTTTTAATAAAGGGTCACACACACCTTATTTCACTGGATACGAAGGACATTTGCATTACTCCCAAAAGATGATGCATCCTCACCAATTGCAGCAATTACCTATTGGATCAAATATAAGTCAAAAATAATGACAATCATAAAAATTCAAATTTAACTTTAACACTTCACTTTACAGTTCATAGAAAAAGGGAGATTAAATTTAAGACTGCACAATGTATTCCTAGGGAAAAAGTATGTACACACACACACACACACACACACATATATATATATATATATATATATATATATATATATATATATATATAAATAATTATTAACAAACAGATGAAAGACAAAATACTAAATACTTACGTTATTACACTACTGCTTCCTCGTCCACTTCATTTTCTGAAATAAAAAAAAAATCATGATCGGTGTGAACTTGAGGTTAACAGCTAACAAAAAAAAAAGCTTTAAATTAGCAACTCAAAGGTTTGATAAAGACCTGCACCTCGATCTGACACGACAGATGATTAGGACTCTCTTAAACATCCGTTTATAACGTTATTTGAATATGTAACGTTACAAAATACAACTGCTATAAATGAACGTGGGTCGAGATATGCATAAACTAAAGTTATAACGTTATTGTTTCAGACAAAAAGGGGACAGACATTCACTTCACTCCTGTCCTGAGTAAACATGAACGTTAGCATGAACGTTAACGTTAGCTTCCCAACACTGAGAAAATTCTGAATTTATAAATAACGTATGCAATAAAGGCTTAACAACATTATCCAAACAAAACGAAATGTGTTTGAACAGTTTCCCTGGACGTTTCACCGCTGTTTTTTCAGCGTCTCGAGCTCTGTCTCATGGCCAGGTTATGTGAAAAATCATATTTTCACTTCTGGTCAACCTTAAATTACAAAAGGGTCCCCTCACGCGGCAGGCAACTTAACTCGACGGTAATCATAACGAAGTTACATACACAAGGCAAAGTAACGTCAATTATAAATTGAATATGACCCAATGGATATTTACAATAAGTTATTAACATTAAACGTACCTGCAAATGTCTGTGCTTCGTCTTCACGAGCGTATTCCAGCTTCTTTGAGTCCTTCAGGTCCATCCTCCATCGGCGGCGAGAAGAGCGTCAGAACAGTGCAACAGCTGGAGATTAACCGTCGCACGTAATCAGCTCGCAATATGAATGCACGGCGCGGGCAAAATCCTATTGGACAACACGAATTCAAATCTGCTGGCTGCCTGCTAATGCTAAGCGAAAGTCAATGGACAATCCCCGCTTTGCAGACCCGCAAGTTTAAAAAAAAATCATCTAATGTGTCACAAAATGTAGTTTTAAGAGTATTTCAGGCGAGAATGTAGTTGTTTTAAACTCGAATCGGCAGTTTATTTAAAAAGACAGCGCTTCTTTGACAATGTGCTTCAGTGAAAGCGGACTCTTGTCAGCGGGAGCTTTATGATTCTCTCCCCCGCCGACAGCAGCATTTACTTCGGCCAGTCAATCTCGGATCTGCCGCTGGATTCAATCTCCCCCTTGTAGTTAAAAGATTATATTTAATACATTTCGTGTATATCTAACGGCCAGCTTTTTTTCTTTTAAATCTATTATTTGTTCTCAGCTGTATTATTTTGGCAGTATTATTCTGTTACGTTTTATAATTGTTTTATTAATTAATTTATTTATTAATGCTACAATGTTGTACTCTGTCTTTGTTTACCAAGCTGGTTACCTTTAATTCCTATTGTATACACCTGCTTTATACTTGTATGTCCATTCTAGTAGTTTATTAAATCTGATAATCAAAGAAAGGTTTGTGTATAATAAGCCATTTCACTTTACATTTAGGGGGATTTATGTTAACATTTTCTTAAATCAAAAATATTATAATATTTATAAGGCCATGTTTATATAATTAAATAATTAAATTTATAATGTACAGTTTTTTTTGTGCATTTCTTCCAAATAACCAACAACTCATAACATAAATAAAGGACCATTTCATACACGTTGACTTGCTCCTTTTTCACACAAGTGATTGTACCTTTCTTTGGGCCTTAAATGGCCCAAACATGGACCCTTTGACAGTTGGGAACATTTTTGTACCATTTTTACCCATTTTTATCTTAGGGTGCTACTTTGAACCATTGAGGGTACAACTTCACCATTTGTACCCCAAGTGTTCACAAATGTACCCCAACCGTACCCTTTTTTCTGACAGTGTAGGTACTGAGAAAATATAGATATTATGTAAAGTAAACTGGATTTAAATTGTGTGTAATCTGCCTTTTTAAGCATGTGTTACAACTAACCCTCTGTCTGTTACAACTTGCTCCGCAGGTGGGGTAAATAGTAACATTTTTACTTCTGGCACTTTTGGCAACACTGCACAGAAACCATAGGTTCGGCGATCATAATTTCAGAGCTCATTTGTAGGTAAGGCTTGTGTTTTGTTGGTAAAAAACAAATGGTTTGTCTAACTCCAATATCTTGTTTATTATTTGACCAAGTGTTACTTTGTGCCCCGCTCTGCCCTACTATCATCTATCTAATTACATTGTTATAACAATGCAAATACAATGTTGTTACATAATAGTTATAATGTAATGACATAATAATGACATCCAAACTAAAAGTTTGTAATTACATACACTGTCAGAAAAAATGTGCAAAATTTGTACAGTACCTTAAAGGGTACAATGGCTTGTCACTGGGGCAGTACCCTCAAGGGTACACCTGTTGTACTCTTTCACATGGGTACACATTTGTACCCTAGCAGTATGTACCTTAATGGGTCAAATATGTACCTCTGCTGACTAATTTGTACCTTACTTGGGCTATGGTACAATAATGTACCTTCAGGTACTAAGGTACAATTTCTCCTCCATAGAGATGAATTTTGTACCCTTAAATTTCAGATTTGAACTCCATACACATTAAATTTCATTTATCACATTTATTAAACATTAAATATGAATATTTTTACAGGATGAATGTTTAAACATTACATCATTTTAAAATAATTAAAATCGATCTTTTTCCATGAGTACAAACTGCACGATAATTGTAATTTTAGAACTTTAACATTTAATCACAAACACACATGGAAAGATTCAGAACAATTACATTGTCACCTTTTTAGAGGATGAAAGTTTTAAACTATCACAATCTTATACCAGATGCATTAACTTAAAAAATAGCTGCTTAAACATTTTTTGAAACAGCAAAAAAGCTTAATATTATTTTTTTTCAACACCAGTACATGACATTTCACTGAGCATTTTTACCAACGTTACAACGTAATTTTTCTAAAACAGCACTAGACCTCATGATGTACATTTTTGCTAGTGCACTGCATTCTACATTTTCTAAAAGCATCAAGAATCTCAAAGCAATCTTTTTCAGTACATTAAATTGAAACATGTCACTTAAAGTATACCCTTTATCATTTTAGATCTCAAAAACACTTTTGATCAAACAGTATTACACATTTGATTTAAAATTTCTAAACATTCTTTAGAAACAGTTTATCAGCAGAGTATGTTTCAAGGGCCTGAAAGTCCGTTTGTCTTGGTTTATAACACCCCATTCAAAGTCTAACTCTTACTGTATTTGCATGGAAATATGAATCATACAACAGCAGTATTAAAAACTTGCCACACAGAAAAGAGTGCATTATAGACATTTAAAATGTATTTCATTAGGAAAGAGGTATTTCTACCCTATTAGCAGTCTCACATGCACACGAAAACAGTTCAATTTGAAAACCTGAATGTGTCAATCTCATCAAGGGTGTTGGGCGGAGAAAATTCTTAGCATTGTTTCATCTTGTGCTTCCCAGTTGATTTGGGCAATGTTATTGAAATGTCTATAGCTGCTAGTCTTAAAATACTGATGCACAGACTCGAAACGCATGCACCAAAGTAAATGCAAAGATCCAAGCATTGCTGTTTGATGCAGACCCAGCAATACCAGTTCTCTCGGACAGCTGCACTGAGTTGTTTTTCTTGTCATTTTGGATCTCTATCTTCACATCGTTGCTGATGTTCAAATTCAAATTGTTGCTCCATCTCGGGGAGTTGCTGATGTTCATCCTTTGCATTCATTATGTAGTGTGGATAAGCCATTTTGAAAACACAGTAAACGGCGAAGGATGTAATAATGCCTTTTAACTCCTATTCTCCTACACTTTGCAGAGGACTTTCAACCATCTGTAGAGTTGGGTAAGGAGCATCATCATCATCCCACTGTGAAAAGAAAGAAAAAAGGACATCAATAAACAATGTAAAATTTGTCAGAACTGCATAACATCTATCAGAGTATTACAAAGTGTTTAACCAACAGTACCCAAACCTCTCCCAGTGTAATTACTGTAAGCAATCAACTTTCTTTTTAAAGATATGGGGGAGCAGAATTAGTGCTGCACGAAAGTCAGAATCTATTGCAAAATAAAATCATCCATTCATTTATTTTATTTTCGGCTTAGTCCCTTTATTAATCTGGGGATGCCACAGCGGAATGAACCGCCAACCTATCTAGCACGCGTTTTACGCAGCGGATGCCCTTCTAGCTGCAACCCATCACTGGAAAACACCCATACACACTTATTCACACATATACACTATGGCCAAATTAGCTTACCCAATTCACCTGTAGCACGTCTTTGGACTTGTGGAAGAAACCGGCGCACCCGGAGGAAATTTCTCTATATAAATTGAGGATATATAGAGAACATTGAGGAATGTTCTCTATATAAAGGGTTTGTATATAAGGCCCATGAGTTTGAACTTGCTAAATGCAGCTTGAGAAGGCACTTAATGATCACATCCGAGAAATAAGGTTCCCCTTCGGGGGGAACTCCAGCACTATAAGTGGATTTGATTGTTAAAATCCACGCATTGGGAGGTTCGGTTCAGAAGCTACTCGTCTGAAAGAGTATTGAACGGGCCAATTAAGAATGAATTGGCAGCGCAAGCCTGCGCAGGTGAGCGGCATAAGCAATCAACTGAGTATATAAGCTCACCTGGCGCCAGCAGACGCTATCCTTTTCGCTTCAGAGACTTTTCTGATCGAGCTTCATGAGGGTTCCTCCTGCTGTCTACAGCCACTTCGAGCGAACGAGTGTCTCCCGGTCCAGAGCGAGTCCACGCAGCGGCAGATGGTCGAGCTGGGTTTCTCCCTTGCCTGGCGTCCCTTTGGGATCCAGTCCTCCAGAGCGGTGCGTATTGTTGCAAAGCATCCTAAAAGAGCAACACAGTCGTGCAGCACGTCCTTTTCAGGACGGCGCTCCGACTGTGCGTTTCTGGTTGCGGGGGTTTCCTGGCTCCGGATGATGGGCACGATCACTGCATTACATGTTTGGGGGTCCAGCATGTTAATGTGGTGCTCGGGGGCAGTTCATGTCGTCACTACGATGCCATGACCGTCGCGCAGTTGAGATCGCGGCAAACTCTCGTGAGAGAGCGAGCCACCCCAGTCGCCTCCTGTTCTGCAGCGGGCGCTCGGGCAGATCTGAGGGTTCCAGCGAGAGATAATCCGCCGCCTACTAAGTCCGCTGCGTGTGCTCTGGGGAGGACGATGTCCACACTAGTGGTCCAGAAGCCCCACCTCTAACAAAACTTGGTTGATATGCGCGAAGTTGACAAAGTCCGCTTTCTTGACTCGCCCATATCCCAAGCTGGTCGGCGACACAGTCTGCGAATTCACTTAGGAATTCGAGGCAGTGAGAGAGCAGTCCGTTGGGTGATGTCTAATCGGTGGCCCCGTAAGCCCGCTCCGCCCGCCGTGCCATCCATACCTGCTCCTGGCCGAAGGTGCCTGCCTACGAGAGCTGCACCGCCCCCGCACTCGCCTCTGGCGAAGCGAGCGCGTCTAGCACCTCGGAAGCAGGCCACTCCCCCTGCCCAGAACGCCGCTAAGTCTGGCAAACGGACCGCGAAGCGTCCCTGGGACAGGTCATCTGGAGAGGAGGGAACTTGCTCTTTCCCCGCTGGAGGGCGGGGCGCCATTTCCAACGGCACTTTTTACTGCCATGAAATGAAAGGGCACTTTTCCACTTCTCAGGAGGTGACAGCCCGAAATCTGCCAGTTTGAGCTCAGCTCTCTAGCTCGTAGGTTCGTTGCACTCCGCCAATGGCTCACGGGCACTGCAGGCCCTGCCAGCCTGGGACGCGCCGCCTCTCAGCTCGCAAGGTCTGCATGCTGCGCCAGCGGCTCACGGGCGCTGGGGGGACGGTCTCCCTTCTCCCAGCCCCCAAGCCCCCCCTCCGGAGTCAGGGTGTGGAGCCAGAGCGAATCGCTCTCCTCCAGCTCTTCTGTGGGACCCTCGCGCTCCCCGGATCAGCACACCCGCTCCTCGCAGGAGTCAGGGTGCGGAGCCAGAGCGAAACGCTCTCCTCCAGCTCTTCTGTGGGACCCTCGCGCTCCCCGGATCAGC